AAATGGATTGTGGCAGTGAAATTAAGACTTGGTTTTCGATTTTTCTCAATTGTAAACATCAACAGGATGAATCGCTTTGCAGCATTTGAGATCTGGGTATGTATTATTGCGGTGAAATTTGAAGATTCTATATACAAAAAAAGGTTAGGAAGAAACACTGAGAAGAGAGTAGACATCCGAATACTCTCATCAGCAGAGAATCACCAGGGAAAGTACAATAGACAGGCAAGAGTTAAGTGTCCTTAACTCGATGGATACCCGCGTCTAAATATATGACCAGTGGTTGCTAATGTGTGCATTAATGTACTAGAGGTCTACTATTTATAAAGAAATGAAAGCGTGCCTATAGATAGCAGTATCAAGTCCAGTTTCCCATACCTATCGGGTCGCGTCCTATGAAATGCTCTGCAATAAGCTTTTTAAAATAAACACGTCGCTGTAGGTATAGCTCTCGCGAAGAATAAATTGCTCTTTCTTTTTGTTCCTGAAATAAAGCGGAACGTTATAAAACACGGTCGATATTTGAAAAGGTTGCTCGGATATGTGCGTTGTGTAAATTTCGATAAGCGCCAGTGCATTTTATCGTTCAATGAACCCTTATTGTGCGGCCCTATACGTATATATATATTGGAATAGAATGTGCGCTTATCCGCTAAACAACAAAACAAAAAAAAACAGTATACTTGGTATGAGTTTCGCGGAATGGAACTGGTTGTACCAGGTGGCCAGATAAGCACGCTGCCGTTTAGTACTGTATCCCTGAAACTACTAATCGTAGAGTAAATAAATGTATGTTGCTAAGAAACGCTAGAAAACATTTTCAAAGTTTTTTCCTTAAATCCCCCTAGTAAGTCTACCAAAAATATCTGGTTGGAAAAAGAATTCCAGTAGGAAAATATTTAAAAAATATTTCAATATTTCCCCATATTTCCTTCATATTCCCCCATAGAAAGGTAAGTATTTCCTAGGTGGTTTCCCTCTCAGGTTTATATATGCACTAATTGTATTAAAAGAAAAAGACCATGGCAAAACTTGAATTATGGATTATGGGCTCACTTTTTTCACTAAATTTGTCCTACAAAATAAAAATTGGCTGATTTAAAAAAAAATGGTAAAACTAAGTTTATAAATAAGTCGAGGCGTTTTTAAAATTTGTGGAAACACTCCGTTTTAAAATATTGTACTTCTGAAACACTTTTTGTGTTACATTTTTTTTGCTAATTTTTCATTACTTTTCAAATGCTTTGTGTCCCTTTTTTATCTAACCTAGATAAAAAATAAAAAAACAAAGTGCAAATTTTGATTAAAATATCAATGGAAATGGCATAAAAATTAAAAATTGCACGTTTCGAAGGGCTTGTGAAAATTCGTATGAAGTTAATATTATTCACATTATTATTAACAACAACAAAAGGGACACCTAATCCACCACCAAAATGTTCAGATAGTGTAAGTTTTAAAGTTGGCAACGCTTAGTTTCGTGAGAATTTATGGTACGTTTACGATAAAATTTCAGAAACTGCAAGTTCTAAGTAAGGGTGGTAGTTAGGACTGTGTAATTGACTGGTCAATTTTTTTTGTGCCAATGACCACTCAATTGACAATTTTGAGAATACCATGAAATTTATAATTATTTATTTATATATTCCGTTACGATGCCGTGGCGTCGTTATTATTGGGATTTCCCGAATCGTTTAGTACCGTATTCGGGTATTCCTTGAAAAGGGTTATAGGTAAATTGGACATGACAAAGGCATAATAATTTATAATAAAATACATACTATTATTAAATTGCTGGATAAGAGTGGACAAACAAGAAACGAAATAGAAGACGGAATAGTGAAGGGGAAAAGAGTCATAGGATGACTCAACTTTATCCTCTGGTCGACACATATTTATAAAGAAAGGAAAAAACTTATATACGATACTATATTTAAAAGCATAGTCCTTTCTGGATGCGAAACATGGCAACTAGACAAAGCCTTGGAAATGAGACTGCTGTCCTTAGAAATTAACTTCAGGCGCAGAGCGGCCAGTAAATCAAGGCTGGGTCGAGTAAACAAGCAACGAATAAGGGCAATCATGGACGAGCAGAAGACCATCCTTGAAGAAATAGACCAAAGACAACTTATATGGTATGGCCATGCAGAGAGAATGGGTGACGAAAGATTACCCAAGCAAATTCTAAAATGGACACCCACAGAAAGAAGGAAAAAGGGAAGACCTAAGATCACGTGACTAAATGGAATACACCACTACACCTACAACCAGGAGACTGGGAAGATCGAAAGGAACGGAAACTGGGAACCGGAAGGCGTTGGACGTTATAGAACCGCTATTATTAAATTGTAGTTCCAACACTAGTGGTAATGCTCTTCCCCATGAAGGGATTTTTTAAAAAAGCGAAGCGAAATTTTTTTTCTTTACGATAAATTTGCGAAAATGACATCTGGTCCATAAATAAAATATTTTGCAGGCAATATCAGTATTTACAGAAGGTGAAGCTAACTTCCTTCACCTGTATGTTGCATGTTTATTTATGCCGTTAGAGCGCGCTTTTAGATTTAATAATAAAAAATATCAAAATTCTCTAAAAAATGAAATGCAAGAATTTGATTTTCTCTTCATTTCGCACGAGAGGGCAACAAAAACAAATTGCATTCCCACCTCGTAATTTTAGAAAAGAAGTTGAAGAAGATCGCGTCTAGTTGCCCCGGGTTTTGAAATTACCAAGCCGTACAACTTAAGCGCGCGTTTTAAAATCTCACCCGACAAACATAAAAGCTTGAGGAGCTTTTAGTCGTCGCGTCGGGCCGATACCGAGAGCTGCGAAAATTAAAAGAATATGGCAGTCAAAAGGCGAGCGAGCAGCTCTCGTTGGTAATACCGTCGAGGAATGATAAACATTTAGGTCAAGTTGGATATTCTCGACAAATAAGCGGTAATATAAAATTATTAACGTCTAGATTAATGCGCGGCGTGATCTCGGCTATGATACAGTACGTCGGAACCAGATTCCGCGCCAGATACCGCTATGAGCACATGTCACGATCCTATGAGAGGTGCTTTTCCTGCAAATTAAATTAAAAATTCTCGTGCTAGAGTTAATTAATGAATAAAACTTATAACAGTTGCCTGTATGTGTCATATCCATTTTGGTTAAGTTCCCGAAAAAACAAAAGAGTAATTTATGTATTTAAAAAACGAACGACAAGTGGAAGAAGTATTTAAAAGTCATAAAGGTAAAGAAAACTTGGTTAATAGTTGACAGCTCTTTGTTGTTGTTTTTGTGAATGTCACGAAATGTATTTTCGTTTGTCACGAGTGGGTTTGAAATTAGATATTTTGGGTGCAAATAGATATAAAAAGTTCCAATAAACCAGAGTCCATGAAAAATTTGTTTTTGATACCTACAAGCCGGTAAAGTGTTTTGTAGTTTTCAGAAAAATAAAATAAATGATATTTAAATAAAACTTGGTTCAGTTGCTCACTTTTGACGCCTTGATGAATATGGTCCAAAACTTAATATTGAAAAGAAAGAACTTGTGGGCCACAAGAATTTTTACCTGCAGCGTATAAATATAGGTGTCTAAATTAGGGACAGCCTAATAGGTGACGAATAATGGTTAACTTCTGATTTTGGTATTTATGAAAATCGACAAGATGATTGTTTTTACAACTTTGACACCAAATATGTATGAACATATTTATATTAGCTCCAATCAAATGCACATATAAAAATTAATAAATAAATAAAATAAAATAATCTTAAGTGCATGAAACATAAAATTATTACAACAAAATATTACATGCAAGGCTGGAGTGTATGTTAATTAATAACTCCTCAATAATATAACCTCAAAAATTTTACAATCACAACCACAAAAAGGTACATAACCAGGTACAAAAAAAGTTATAATTTGATGTATCTCTAGAGCCTCATTTTTCCAACAATGTTTAAAAAAATATATGCTGCAATCTTTATAGGAACGAGGTGCTGGTAAATTAGGGCAGAGATATATATAAAAACAATTTAAAGAAAACTGCTCGGTGCTGTGGTGTGTCGATATGGCAACATTAAAACGGAAGTTCGGTTCTTTTGATTTTATGCAACTTAAACCTCATATGAACATTTCGTTTCTCGAACACAAGCATTCTGCATTTTCTGTATTCCATAATTATTAAAATTTGTAAGAAAATAACAATATACAATATCAAGCAGGTATAGACAGTACATTTTTAAATTTATAAAAAAGTTATTTGTAATACGTTGTTTTAAATTAAAACGAAAAATTGTGCAATGGCTTTTGTAAGAATTCGTTATCATTAAGCGTTTTCGAAGCAACCCCAATGCAAAATTACAAAGAGAGGAATTATACAAAACATGAATTTTTCTTATTGGTGTTGGTTGTCACGTTCACGTATTCAATAAGTAGGTACGTGGATAGTGGTTCTAAATCGTGACCTCTAGACTCAGTAGAAGTTACAATACTTAAGTTTTTGAATGGAAGCAACGGGAATTGGATGCAGATTATGGGAAATAAGAATTCCACGCAGTTTAATCGTAATCAGTTTGTGCGCTTTCGCTATTCTTGCAAGTAGGTGTATAGTAACAGGTAATCGGCAAATTCAAATCGAGATATTTATATCGCATCAGTGTTATTATAATCTCGAGGTTGCATATATTAACCATAAAATAATGTTGTTCCCTATACGCATATTCATTTAGCCTGGGGACTTGAAGCTGTTTTAGCAGATACTCAGACCCACCATGTCGGTCAATTTTGCGATCACCTATATAATTTAACACTTCAAGTAGCGTATTTCCAAGATTAAGTAAATTAGCGTCAATTAACGTTCTGACATGGGACTTGGATACCGAAAAACAACGCGATCGCGACTCGAAGTTCAAGGTCAAAAGCGAGGCGAATAATTCAGTTCGCTGCGACCTTTGCTTGTTACATCAACGTTTCCACCGACGTAGCGAAAAAAAAACTCACCGTAGCAAAAAGCACGGAACTACCAGCATCCAGCGACACAAATAATCCAGGAAACGTTTTCCGTCTTAAGCACCAACCGAAAAAACAAACAAAATCATCGGACACTAGTCCAGCGTTCTAAATCATTTTTTATCCCGGATGGGGTATTTCTTTTTTTTGGTTCCTAAATTCTCCCGACTCGGTCAGGTTACGAGAGAAACGGGGCCCACGGAGATACAGCTTCTGCACCAGCGTAGCGCACTAAGCGGCTGCTCGACAAACACTGAAGTTCGCAATGTTTCTGGCCGAAACACCTCTCGCAACGCGGCCTGCGTTGAAAACAGTGGGGCGGACGGTGGCGCCGCCACGCGTCTGAATAATCGGTAAGAATCCCAAACTACTCTACTAGGAAGGAGCTTTGGGTCGAATTTTATATGACGTTCGGAAAAGGGACGGGCGGAAAGCTTGATTTTCGCTGTTCCCCTCGATACGATAGAAACGTGTAATCGGGGATAATTTTGTAAGTTTGTCTTTGGTTCTTTCGGAATTCATAGATATAGATCTTTCTGATTCGATTACGCAGCGCCGTTTTTCCTTTCGCTTTATTTGGATAGCCGCCCTTTTTTCTCGGATCCGAATTCAAGATGTAAGACTCAAATTGCTTATATTGTGTCCAACAACATGTACATAATAACGTTAAAAAATTACGACCCGAGGGTAACACACAATTACAATACAGTAAATCTGGAAACAAAGGAACAAAGATACATAAGACTACAAAGTTATGTAAGTATTTGTATTTATATTTATTTTATTTAAAAAAAAATGTAACAATACAGAGACATAGTTTCAAAGACCTAGAAAGATTCCAACACACGCACAAGTGAAGACTCAAAAATTATTATTCCAAGTTTCACGTGCTTCCCCCACACGACCTCCATCAGATCCATAAATGACAATATAATTTGCATTACATTAATGTGCTTAACCAAAAAAAAAAAAATGAAACTTGGACAGAATACCCGACATAAAAATGATCTGTCAAGTAAATATCATCTATCTTTCTGCCCCAAAGTTTTTCAACTACTTTCCCGAAAAACTTAAAAACACTGTATATGATAAAAATTTCAAAGTAGAGTTAATTTTTTTTTAAAAATTACAGATTAGAAATTCATAAGGTGTTTGGTAGCGTTGTTTGGAAGATCGTTTTAGTCTAAAAAACCCCCATTGTGACTTTTTCTCTATTGTGACTAATATAAAGTCAACTGTGACTGTATTCTAAGTAGTAAAAATGACCTCCTGTCATTATTTTAGATATGAACAAGCAATAAATATTGTGTCAGTGCTGAATAGTTTGTTTATTAACAATTATGTACGTTATGTTAACGTTTATTTTAATGAATAACCTTTATTATTATTATTATTATTAAATAAATTCAACATTATCCGCATATACAAAGACGTCAACTCAAACTCACGCAGACCCAAACTGGAATGAGACCACATCCGTTTGACTCAAACCAGATCCAAAAAATGTAAAAGTAAAAAACGGAATTGTGAAATTCACAACAACGCTCAACGGCTCAAAAATGAAAACGTTATTAATATATTCTTTTTGGCTTTAGTGATGTTTAATTTCTCCAATAGATCAAGTTTTTACTCTTTGGGCATCGTGTACAATTTGATTTAGTAATTACTACTCTGTGATGCGGACCAAACAAAAATATGTTAGTACACTTTGACATATATGTAATAGTATATTATGCAACAAGTGCGGTAAACGGCATTTGACTCACGAGTTTATTTGACACGAGCGGAGCGAGTGTTTAATAAACGAGTGAGTTAAAAAGTTTACCGAACGTGTTGCATACTATACTTTTTCTACGACAGTTAGTTTTTGGGTACATTTTCATAAAACACGAATACATCAATACGTCAAATACGTCAAAATTCAAACCGTGGGAAAAATCTCCGAAAACATCCAATCGCTCCCAAAACCCTGCGGTAAAATCCCGGAAATGTCCGAAATGGCTCGGATTCGTGGGAAACGAAACTGACGTGGTAAAGTGACGCTTCCCGCACGCTAGATCGGTGGGTAATTACGTATTTTACAGACGGGAGTAGAAAAAAATATAGAATCAAACACTTTTCTGCTCTAGTGGTCATGCATATCTCTACATAATCAACTATTTATCAACTGCTTCCATTTATTCTTGTTCACTGCGATGTGCTTTGCCTCATTCTAGTTTTATTTTTATTTTTTCTTCAAAATCTTGTCTATTCTTTCGTTGCAAGTCTTTCTACGTCAAGTCGCTTTGCTTTTCCACACTTTCATGATCGGCGCTGCCGCACAATCCCAACTGCCTGTGTTTTACGTATTGACTGGATATTTAGTTCTGCTCTAATATCGTCATTTCTAATTTTATCCCTTCTTGTTGCTCCCTTGACTTTCCTCAGGTATTTAATTTCAATGGCACCTACTTTACTTTACGGACAATACCCGTGTTTTACATCCATGCCCAGACTTTTATTTTTCAATTTCTTGACACTTCTTTGTTATTTATTAGTCTTTTGCTCAGTGTATGGTAAAACTTAATGGCTTTGTCCAATCTTGTATTAAGTTCAGCTTCCTGAGTACCTTTTTTTTCAACTGTTACTCCTAACTATTGGAAACTACTAACCTGTTCAATTAGCTCTACGTTCGTGTTGCTATTTTCTTGTGACACTACCATGACCTTGGTCTCAGCTCTATTCACTTTCTTCAAATCTACTTCACTTCCTGCTACGACAGCTGCGCTTTGACATAGTGTTATGGTGAAAATATCTTTACAACTTTAACTATAAGAGGAAAATTGGGTGAGTTGTACAGGAAAATGTAAAAAAATATGGAGGCTTTATCCCAAGTAACTATTTACCAGCCACTACAGGGGCTCATTTTTTAGTTTGTTTTATTTTTACATTTAAAAGGGAACAAGTTAAGTTGTGTTACGTAATTTTATGTTATGTATATATAAAGTAAATAGGTTTAATAAGGGAAGCAAAGCAGGAAAGAAAACCAGAAATTCCCTAGAAAGCATTTCAGGCCATAATGATAAAAGGTCAAAATTAGATGAATTGTTGTATGCATTACAGATTGCAAAGGCGAGAACTTCAGAATGTCTGTACATTGAATCTGTAAGTAAAAACTTAAACAAAATTATCCTACCATTTAAAGTTAAATTCATTTATAATCTGACATTGCCGAGGATATACTCGATTTTCCTTAAAAGATGTATTTTTAAAATTTTGTCTGTACATCTTCCATCAGTAATTTTCAAATTATAAGCTTAAGAACACACACAGCGACCGCAAACCTTAGCTTGCAACAATATATATAATAATAAAACTATTCTTTAAAATTAAAATTTTTGCAGATATTTGTATTGGTCCATTATAATTTTATTCGATGAAATTATAAGAGATATTTTAACTTTTCTGTAAACTCAACAAGATATTTTGGATATAAAATATTTAGTAATACAGGTCGTTTTAAATAAATCATTTTGGAACATTATTATCAATTACCTGACAGTCATTTGCATGTTTGCTTACAATGAGTATTTTGCTAGTTTTGATTAGTTTGCTGATGCAAGTATCAAAACACCTTGTAAATTAAAATGGAATATCTTAAACTACTTTCACTAAAAAAAGCAACACTTTCCCTTGAATCTTAATGTCGCAAGAATTTCACAAATATCGTTAAACTTCGAAAAGAAACTCTATGTAACAGCCAGTCTGATAATTACAACCAAAAAATGTTTTTCATCAATTGTAACATCTTAGCCCAATTTAACGAAATAATGAATAGTGCGACAATCGATGGGGCTGTAATGCTTTTTCCTCTTAATGGGGCACGTTAAAGCATTAATTTTTTACCAGATACTTTAACTGTTCCATTTATTACATGCTAATTTATTTGGCAGCACACTCGTTAATTTCATTTGTTCATTACGATATTTCTGTCGCTAGGCGGATAATGAAAATGTGATCCATTTTAATATTAATAATTAAATGCTGATATTTTCAATGAGCGGAAAAGTTTTGGTATCTTAGTAAAGATAAATGTAAAACTTTCATAATTTGGATGATTCTTAATTTTGGCAGTGTTCTTAAAACGAAAAAGTGAGATAACCAGAATTACCTCTCCTGTTTTGTTAATAAAGGTTTTTTTCATTGTTTAATTTTCATTTTTTCAAATTGTATTTGATTTTTATTATTCCTTTTTATTCATACAATATCGTGTTAAGTGGGCATGTCATTATTGTCACATACTTCCTACAAAAAATAGGGCATCGGATCTTATCCAACAACAACGTTTGGTAAAATTCAATTATATCAATCGATCAATTGTCTACGCACCATATCAGCGAGACAATAACAATTAATTCTTTCTGTCAACACTTTATGTTTCTTAGTAGAACCTTAAGAACAATCACAACAGCCGATAATAGGGAGATGGTTTTGTTTTTCCAAATGCTTGATGAGAATTAATGAACGTATATATTACATTCCTACAATTTTTGTACAATTCAGAAGTTTTTAGTTGTCAAGAAACGTCCTACAAAAATCGGCTTTTATATGTGGTTACTGATTATTTTGTAATAAAAACTAGTAATTTACGCAGATATAATGTTTTATTAATTTGTCTTACCATAGTCATTAAAAATGTATGCAAGAATCTGACCTGGTAGTATCAATGACATACGTTATTAATATTTAGAAACTATTTAAACGATTTTGAACGATCACATTGATAAAAATTAGTAAGCTATAGAGGCGTTATTTCTTCCACAGGGAAGAAGAAATAAACGCCAAAAGCGGAAGCTTTAAAAAACACCAATTTTTATTAATTTTCAGCTTGGTATAAATAAAAAATCAGCCGTCATAATCTCGCAACTCCCGTGTCTTTCTCTCGACAAAAGAATATCCTCTTTAATGTAATCATTAATTTATTCACATTCATAACTAAGTTTTTGGGGCGGCCTACCCATCTAATTGCATAATCCCTTGTCAACCGGATTTTTTGGCTTTGTCGACGAGCAAATCCCCAGCTGTAACTAAAAGCGCCTTTAATGAATAAAAAGAAAAGTTTCCACGAAAGTGTGACGGAGCGGGTTGAAAAATGTACACTTTTTCATTTGCAATTTATAAATTTCATAAAAGATGAAAGATACGGGCGCGTTCAGAGAACATTCGTTCCATCGTACAATTAAATTAAATTCTAGTAAACGTAGTTCAACCGTAATT